CAGCTAGGTGGGTTCATGAAAACTAATCTGGTCAGCATCCAATGTGGAAGACTTATGGAGCTATTTATTTTGGGTATTTATTTACCACTACATAGGGAAAGAATTCCTGAATTGGACTTCTTTGTAACTAGATCGAATTTATATTGACGCTGACACTTGGAATGACTAACAATTGTATTATAATAGAAATATGACTGGGAACAGAACATTCAGAAACTGCATTGTTGTGAAATCCTCATACAACTGCGCTAAACAGGTTTAGTTTGTATTTTATTGAAATGAATAAAAATTTCCCAGTATGTCAATTAGTCAGTGTCAAGTTATTATAAATCGATATAATGATGAAATATGATTAACATATAGATAAATATATAGACAGATAATCAGACAAGGAAATATTAGAAGTGATCACATTTAAGGGATTCGAATCAGCCGGACAATTGATCACAGGTTGACCAATGTAACTAGCTTAATGCATTAGACGGTCGCGCGCTCAGTTAAATATCGTGTATCAGAATAAGTGTATCTGTGGCATTAATATGTCTGTAATAAACCCCATAGTTAGCCAACGATGAACATTTCTTGTAAAATTCGCGTTGTTCTGCAGTCCACAGATTATGTTATTATACTTAACCAAGCGACTTTTCCCGAATTATTTTTTTTCAATACTTTACCTGCTATGGTATAAGGAATAACGCATCGAAAGTTAGCACAATAGTCTATTTCAGAAACACCTGACCTCTAGGAATTCGGGCAGTTGCAACAGATCAGTACGTTATGTGATATGTACCTAAATGGCAACACAGGGTGATCACTGTCGAGAAGTGTCTATAACAACACAGAAATGCACGATAACGGTCCAATAGTGTAGCTATAGTTCTTGTGACACATTTTGCTACGCACACCAAAGACTACTCAATAGCTGATCACTCTCCTAAACTCTGAGCTCTATCTAGTAGGTACATTGTTAAAATCACTTCAAAGGTCGATATTCATTACATTACTAATATTATTATAGTTGTTAGATAAAAAATAAGGTTTGAACTGAAGAACAGCTGTCTAGGTGGGTTAGATACGTGCCCTTGCCCGGTTGAAGCCAAAAGAAAGTGAATGGGTAAAGTGGCGGTTCAGAAATTAATCTTAAGTTTAAATGTCCATTGTTACCTAAACAAATATGACCTCCCAGCTATCCAACCGACAGTTGTTCAATTAATCGGATCAATCACAACAAATAAATGCTATTCTATCCTGTGTGGATAGACCATGCACAGATTCTTTCAAAAGATGATATTTAGTTGCTTTATAACACAGAGTGTTTTCAATTCTGGAAGAGTGCCATAATTCGCAATCAAAAATGCACAATTCCTGTCAATACAAGCAACACAATCAAAGGGAGAAGCAAACCAATATGGCTACCACCAAGACTAAGTATCAAGTAAAACAACATAAACGCAGTTCTAGAAGAAACTTGGAAACTTAGTGAAAGCGTAAGAAAAATAAAAACTACAATAAAATACAAATATTACCAAATCAAATGGAATCGGAAGGACTAACAAAATGTACAATTAAAGGATACCATAGGAACAAACTGCGAGTGTATACACGGATGGATTTTCACATACAAACATTCAAAATGGATCTTACAGTGGTATATCGTGAAGCATTTATTCTAAGCTGGCTAACGGTTGTAAGAGATGCATAGCACGGCGTACCCACTCGTGGTCTGATGCGGATGCGTGACAAGAACCAACCTAGCATGTGTCCAGTAAAACTAGTGGGGTCAGCATCAAATGCCGAAGACTTGTAGAACTATGGTCTACTATGATATTAGTACTGCTCTAATAATAGACCTAATCCTAAATTTGTAGATTCGTCATGATATAACTGCCTAATCTATAAGATCTTACGTGGAAGTCACACCATCGACTACGCCAACTCACTGTATCGTATCAATTACCAATACATGATGAAGAAGAAGGTTAGGTTAGAGAAGGAACAATATATTTAATATGAATAGAAGATATAAAGTAACACTGAGATGGACCACGTCTGCATGGACGAGCCATGCCACTCGATCAACTCCAGTCCATTCAATTCATTGTTCGCGCCTTCTCCATTGTTCGGTATTTCCCCGAGTTAAATATTGAATATCTATTTTCTGAGTAGTCTCGTGTTCACAGCTTTGTGGATTGTGTGGCTATTGTCCAATGCCACTACAGACTTACAGAGCTTTTTAGTTTGGATATTTATTTAACGACACAAACCAGTAACCAAGCACAAGCCGAATACAATGTTTGTATACTGGCTAACGGCAACGCTACGCGACCAAAAAGCTTCAATAAATTTAGTGAGCATCCTTCTGCGCACCGTCTATTACTTGTTGGAACAAAATGAACGCTCCCCATCGTAGTTAGTCTAGACTATTTGAATAATCTGTTGTGTGTTCTTCCGTTTGGGTGCAACGATATTTGGGACCACGATCATTTTTCAATGGTCCGGCTAACTAAATGACTTCAGTTACTCGTTTGTGGTATCGATAGTAAAATGTGGTTGGTAACTGAGCAGAAACAAACAAGCACTTAGCCTTTTGACCATTAAACATGTGATTTCCCTTCCTATCATTGATTTCTACTCCGAAATTACTGAATGTGACTGCTTGTAACCGCGTTGAATAAGGTAGTATATAGCGTTACTCTGGTTCTTTAGTCTTGATCGTTAATCTTGTATCTTAGCAAAATGTTTAAAATCGCCCCTTATATTAGTTAGCCATTAACAAGAAAGATTACTCAGTGACCAAAACTCCTAGAGTTCCTGTTCCTTTCTTTATATCCACCTTGTCCATGTGATCAAACCGTAATCAGCTGCAAAGAAACTCAAGCCACAATCATTTTTTAATATTTACTAAACTGACTAAGCACAGATGTAATATCAAGATATTTAAAGTGCCTAAACAATTTGGGTACTAAGTTACATGGCCAACAATTGACCTGGAGACTTCATACGACCAAATTTATGTAGCATCAAATAATTATAACACTAAAGATCATAATCAGTTATTTGTCAAGGAGGAAGTGTATTCCTGACAAGCAGGATACCAGTAAAACAACTCTGACTTATGCAGTTATGTGAAATCGATGAGGCAGTAGCTAAAACCTTTAGTTGGTTACGATGAAAACTAAATCAAAGACATATCATACAACAGCAAAAGTATAATTGAATAACCATCATTGTGAACAAAAAGCTAACAGCAATCTCATACGAACTAAAATGGTGATGAACATAAACGAAGGGATTAGGAAGAGTTTGGCTGAACGTAAAGGTAAAACAAAGTGTTATAGTCACAGAAAATGTATATGTGCGGATTCCCGCCCACACACATATGCAAAGAAGATTACAGACTAGGCCTTGTGATGGATCCCAGCAAAAGAGCCTACTCAAGATATAACAGTACTCAGAGTTACTAATAGTATACCGAAAAATTGACACTACTAACCTATGTACCTATGAGCAAAGCAGAAAAGTCACAAGCATCATTTACGGTACAAATAGTATATTAAATAACAGAAATGATAACTATTGTTTTGGAATGAATGTTGCTTGTAAGCTGCTTCTCTGAGATAATCACAGGTTAGTTCACTTGACCAGCCAATGTTTCTTTGAACGTGGTGGCACCAACGCCATAGCGAGAATGATTAAGCCCGACAGAAAATTTCGAATAATAATAAGGGCCAATACTCTAACTTAATATAGATTGACCTTAAAGAATACTATAACACTACTATAATCTCCAACCACAGGCCTTGGCCAATAAAGCAGAAGGACAGATTACAGATATATTCTTAGTAATCGCGGTAGTGTGTAAGTAGAATCAAACAAGTATATCCGTTTCATCTTACCATTGATACAGAGAAACAATAGATAATGGATATAAATGTGATTACATATTATGTGTGAAAAATAAAGAAAAATAAGGTCTTTATTTTGTCGTTACAAAAATCAGTGAATATACATGTCACAATAGCCTCTCAAAGGATGTGGTGTGAGGATACAATCAATATGACCGAATCGGATAGTAATGATGTCCAAGTATCTTCCATTTTGTTGACTTGAAGATAAACGAGGGAGAAAGCGACGATGGTTAGGAGGAGAGTTGTTCTCGAATACACGAATCATTCATCGAAGAGAGAACATTCAGGCAAGAAATCACGTAGTTAGACAACAGCAGTGTGGTGCCCGGAATGCCGTCTCAGTCGACGAGATCACAGCAGTTTCACCAAACCGATGCAAGAGAGTTCTGGAAAATTAAATATACCTTCCAATTAGAATTATGAACACTCCTACTTTTTGTTCTCTTCACAAGTGGCTTGATAACATAACTTTAATCTTTACCTAGTTTAAACTATTTTTACTTACCATCATTCCACTCATCTGTCCATTTTATTTTTATCACATATTACTTCTACTCTACACCAGTCATCAAGTCCTCACGACACCCTCAACCAGACTACTGAGTGATTTGTGATCAGCCAGTCCCAACAACTGCATAGTCATGGCATATGCAGGTGCGTCTAAACTCGCAGTGTATGAACCATTAGATAACTTTCAAAAGGGCTGGGGCAACAGCAGTTGAATACCTAAGTCATTTACTTGCCCATTATTGAGACATTATGTTAGATTTTCTCTGACATATGTCGCTTTCGGAAATCAAACTCTTTGTCTTCCTAGATAAATGCTACTCAAGTGATTTTGAACAGAACTGGAACATTGTTCAGTTTACTGAATAAAAATTCGATTAGTTACAGATTAACTTAAGTACTTGAAGTAGTTTTGAGATAATTTGCAATGATCGGTGGTACTTTGAAATACAGGACAAATGACTAGCCTTTAAAACACTATTATTAATATTCAACATATTTTGAACCTATTGTGCATTGGACAACAGAGCGAGATAGCGTTTGTTTGAGCAGATTCTTTTAAACTGTTAAGGAAAGTTTGTCGGGATGACTGATAGTGCCAATAAGGTAGGCATTTTTGCGATATAAATACTATTTTCCTGATGATGGTAACCAAAGATTTTCTTATGTAATTCAGGAAGCTCCTTCAGAGCATATTAACATCAAAGTGCAAGGACAAGAAGGGTCAATTATTCACTTCAAGATACGGAAAAGCACACCTTTCAAGAAATTAATTACTGCTTATTGCGATCGACTGGTAAACATTTGGTCAGTATATACTCAATCTCCTTTAGGGCGTTAATCAGTCTGCTGTGCGGTTTTTTTTCGATGGAAATAGCGTTCATGAAACTGATACTCCTGGCTCGGTAAGTCAACCTTATGGTTCACATTAAAATTTTTAGTTGGAAATGGAAGAAAATGATACCGTTGAAGTTTTCCAGGCACAAACTGGTGGATTGTAACTAAAGATTACCCTCCCATAACTATGTATACATTTCCCTGTTGTCTAAGTGACATTCATAGATGATGACTTGTCAAAATTTCTGCTACGCATTTCCTTCAATATTATAATTCTTGAAGATATTTTATTACGCGCTTCTAATGTGAGTTCCAGGCTCTATCGTATTTGGGTGGTATCTTTTTATTTCAACAAATAATTAGGTAGCCCGTGCCTGAATACTGGGTTATGTTACAACTAATAATCACCATGTGGAAGCGTAAAGTATGCGTTATCACACTTTTCGAGTTTAGTATGGCATTGGAATGATGCATGGTGACTTGTTAAAGTCAGTATTCAATAGGTAGAGTCTCATCATAATCCACGTCGGTTTGTTGAAGTTTGTGGTCATGTGGTTTATATATTCGGAATTAATTCTTTTAGGACCTGACAGTTCAGTTGATTGCAAAAGCAACTCATGGCGGAGTTTTAGAACCTATTCTTGTTTCTTGAGTTTTGATACCACTAACCTAACACATCGATGACTGCGAGATTGAGGTAGGTAGTTCTCATATGAGTAAGTGCTTTAGACTTTAAAAAGAATATATGTCATCCTTTCCAAGGCTTTATTACCAAACTACTGGGTGTAATATCCCCTTTCTCAATAGATTGGTCTTATAGGAAACTTGTTCGAAAAGTCGAGTCAAATTTCCCCATAACTCGTTCTTTCCTACTAGACAACATCTGCTCCTAGCATGGTTAAACAAGGGTGTACCAAACGGCTACATATTTACTTATTTTCAAGTATTTAGGCCAGAGCTCGTGGTTCCGGGCATTTTATAGTTACACGTGGGAAGGATGTATGTTTGGTCGCTTTACATTTTACTAGAGATCTGGTAGCGTTCCAACATGTGATACAGTGAAGTGGACTGGCACAAACTGCATTTGTGTAACATTTTAGTTTCTCAACGTGGTCGTCCGGTTTTCTTATCGGAATTTGGAGCTGGGTGTGGAGGGTCATCTGGAAATCGGGATCTGTGTTGGCATGTAAGTTAGACTCACCATCCTCCATTTTAGTTGTTTCTTAGCTTACCTCATCGTCAGAAGTCTTAAAACGCTAGTGATTAGAGTACTAACACCAAAGCAATACAAAGGGAGAATTATGCCTGTATAAAACATTTGATAACAATGGCGCCGTGAAATCAATGTGCTTTTGTACAGGACACTTGAGCATCCTAGAAACCCATATGAAGCAGGTAGTTACGTACTACGTCTCTTGATTGAAAAACAGTACCTCGAATTGACCATGAGATTCGTAGGGAAAAGTAAAGGAGGTTTATTGAGCAATAAAAATATTTACGCGATCCTAAAATTTGTACTTCAACTTTTCGCTTAATGCTTACCTGGTTCTTAGAAGTCCATTACATTGGGTTGGTCGGTCCTGTCCCTTGTTACGCTCTCTCGAGGAACTAACAGAAATTCACAAGCCAAATAGTCATCTTAATATGCCTGAAGCCATTGTATATGATGGTTACATGACGGGGCTCTAAGCACATATAATTCCTAATAAGAAAATAATCGAGCTTACCTAAATGTATACTGAAAGGTTGGAGGATTTAGTGCGAATATTAATATTCCAAATAGTCACACCTCACATCAGTAATAAGAATCGTCAACAAAATGGGCGTAAATAGGGTAGTTTTATTATGTACTGGAAACGAAATAGGGTGACATTTGTCTTACATGAAATTTTGAAAACTTTCCCGATTTGATGTGAGGCTAGTCGGTTCACATAAACATCTCAACTCCAATTTTTGTTGGTGTATGTATGGGTTAGACCAGACAGTGCTTTCCAAGGTATGCTACGTATGAAATAGTGTAGAAGATTTATGACTCAGATGGTAGTGTGTCCTTTGAGCTAGATAGTTTAAATATAAAGTTTTCTTTGCCATTCTGGAAAACAGCGATTACTTTATGTAGTTGCTTTCAAAAAAATTATTGTACAAACACCAGGCCAATCTGTTCCGATGACCATGTTCCTGATACGTCGTCTTCACTCACGTCTGTCACCCCTCGTGAACCGCCGGCCAAGGTTCTCCAACCATCTCTGTCCTAGGGTCTTTTTCCCGGCTGTTCACAAGTGATATTCTTTTGATGTCTGCCTACGATTCGCGGCGGGACGTGTTCTTTGGTCAGCTTTTCCTTTCGCCTTCAGGATTCCACGTTGGGACTTACCTCGTGATTCAGTTTGGTGGTTTCTGCTACGTGCCCTATCCCCCTCGCGTTTTTTCCTAATTTCTTCAGCTGGGATCTTGTTTGTTGTTGATGGTGTCTGGCCAGTGGGTCTGGACTATCTTGGGTAGACGACTGTTTACAAATATATGTACTTCCCTGATGGTAGCTGTGGTTGCTCTCCACATCTCAGCTCCGTACAATAGATTTGTCTTGAATATTCTGATTTTGGCGTTGGCTGGGAAGTGTTTGGAGTTCCTGATGTCCGTCACTTATAGAAATGCTGCCCTTGTCGGTCCGTGCTTTCATATCTGCATCGAATTCCCCTTGTTTGTCAGTGTTGCTGCCCAGGTGTGTTGAAGTTTCTAATTCCAGATCTTCTCCATCAAGTGTGATTTGGTTGGCACTCACTGTGTTGTATTTTAGGAACTTTTTCCTTTGTGCATGTTGAAGCCTACTTTTGAAGAGGCTGCTGCAATACTAGTTGTCCCCGTCTGCATTTGTCGGTGTGTATGGGATAGAAGGGCTAGGTGATCTGCAAATTCTAAATCGTATAGTTGCATACAAGCTGTCTACTGTATTTAGTGCTTCCCTCAGATGTCGAGTTCTTCATAATCAAATCAACTACCAGAAGAAAGAGAAAAGGAGAGATTAAGTAGTCTTGTCTGACTCTGATCCTCACATGGAATATATCTGTCGGCTGTCCTTCATGCATGACTCTGCAGTGTGGTCTGTTGTATGGATTCGTATGATATTGACGATTTTCTCAAGTACACCATAGTGCCGAAGATGGTTCCATAAGGTCCTATCGACGCTGTAAAACGCTTCCTCATAGTCAAGGAATTCGATGTATAGTCATGAGTTCCATTCGATTGTTTGTTCAGTAATGATTCTCGGCTTCCACGTTGGGGCGTCATAACTCTTTTAAATGAAGATTCTTCAACTCCCTAAGGGTATCTGGAGTGGGTTTTTTTATGGTCAGCGCTTTTTTAACAAGGTTACCTTCGTAGGTCTTATTATTTTAACATGGCATTGTATACCCGTTTTCTTCGGCTGACCTCTGACTGTATGTTTTGATATTGTAATGAGAAGGGGAGATTTACGATAATGATCATGCAGCGCGTATTTCGTGTTTAACAAGTCCAAGTAGTTCATGAGTACTATTCATCCCAAGCTGGTATCCACCGTATAATCAGTACAGGTTGGACTGTTGTTTGTCTTTTCTCATCAATGAACAAATTTAACTCAAAAAGTGAATAGGAAAATACAAACGAAAGTTTTTCAGTGATCATTTCTGAGCGACAGTCTAACTAACCAACCTCAGGTCATTATATTCATGCAATCGCATTAGTTACTATCTGTAATATTTTATCAAAACCCTTTAATTCATTCACCCTTTAACTAAGACGTTGAAAAAATCCATCCATCTCAAAGCAAACCACTTTGTTTGTATAAAAATTAGCAATAAAATAAAAATATCTGATTATGGCATTTTGTGAACGTAAAAAAGTGGGATAGTAGATAAAACGATTAAATAACTTTAAAATATTCTATCATAGCGCAGTTTTTGTTGGAATAGCGGAATACTTGTATTAATTAAAGTAAAGAGCTGTAGCTATGAAATATATCTTTAGAAATACTCATTAACATGTTTTTATGAACTGATTCGTTATTGACAGCTTTATTCAATGTAAATAAAATCGTATTCGAGATCATGCTCCTATAAGCGCCAGTAATAGACGACGATAATCTCTTGACGTTTCATCCTACAGAGAGTGAGGAATAAACAAATTTATACCGTTTAATTCTAATGAGTTACCATCAATTGTCTACAATTGAACCGGTTAAAAATTTATAAAAATATAAATTTAAAATGTTAGTCCCACATTTAATTTGATGATAAATTTTACTACACAAGTAATACAGTAGGGATTGTTTTTATATGTTTGGGTCAGGTATAATATCGGTCTAGTTTTCCGCTCTTCATATCAGCAGAGTGATATAAAAAGGTGAAAGGTAACATAGTCGAAATGATAGTAGTTTATGGGTTTTCTTCAACTACTGGCCCAAGTGTCTGATTTTTCTTCCAACATAAATTCAAGTTACCTGATAGTATCTTTATGTAAGACAAAGACGCACATCTATACTCATTTGGTAAATAGTGCAGCCTTCTTATATTATCAACTTCCAAATACGACAAGAACGTTTGATTCTTTATTTATAGTTAGTGATAAACTTATTTTGAAGGTGAGGAGCTGCTTACTTTCTGTAATTCGGTCACGTATGTATTTTGTCTTAGTTGATTATTTCCAGTCAATCAGCTAAGTGGACTGAACTCATACGTTCATTGTTCAACTTTGAATTATGTTCAGTATTATTGTTATGAGAAAATTTGGTGGTGGTTCAGTAGATTTGACATTGTCTCCAAATTCCCCTGTTACGGTTATGCATCTGTAGTGCAGCTTTACAATGTGACAGTTGTGTGACTAAACAGAGTGAGATTCAAGAGTTATTGAATTATTTTTACGAATAAATAGGTACATATCAGTGATCAGGGCATGATGATTGTTATAGTAGCACTATACTAACACGGTCAATTTTGTCGAACAACCCAACTGAAGTACTCGTGGAATCCAAGTTGAAAACGAGGATTTACCTAAAGAACGGTCCTATTGATATAAAATATATGTGAATTAGTTACAAACCCCGACTGATGAAGCATCTGTGGGGGTTAATGTGTCTATATCTATTCGAGAGATACCGCTTCCTGCTATCTGTTGTATCCCGATAAAAATAGTGAGTGGTAGTTTTTGGGATCCATTTATGGACCAATATTCTGAGTATGTTTTTATCGTATAATTGTTTCGTAACTAAACTGTTCATATTCATTCCCCTCTTATTATGAGCTTTATTTTGACCTATGAACTATTATTAGACGATTTACCATTCATGAACTATTCCCTGTCTGTTAATCGCTACCTCCCTCATTCACAGCCACATCGGGCTAATTCTTGTACAAATGTTGTTTCATATTTTATTGGTACGTTGTGGTCGGTTTGATTGGTATATTAACTCAGTATGCTTGAAATATAATGATTCATATCTCAGAGGCGGAGACTTGCGTTCTGGACTCAACTGGCTGGGCTAAACAGGGAAGCGGGACCAATCAGAACTCTAGGCCGTTCTTACGTGTTTACGCGTCTTTGGTCCGATCGATAGTAAGCTGCCCTCTAATCTGCTGAACACAGTCATAACACTGTCATTTCATAAAGATGTATTACAACATATGATAGTGTAAATTGCAGCCGGTAACTGTGTCTAAAGTTAATAATGGCTATCAACAATCAAACGGAGACTACGAACACAAAATTATGGAAGGTGTTGAGTTTAAAAAGATATCCAACGAATTCAGGGAAACTAAGTTTAACTGTTGCAAGTGTTATGAAGATGTAATTACGATAATGAGTAAGGTAAATATTAATTTATATAAGTACTTAGGAATATTGCACAACAAACATAAGTTACATCATATGCTCATAGGCTATTGAACATGGAACTGGTTACTGAATATTAATAAGTAGTATAAGTTATCAGACAAAGTGAAGTTGAATAAGCGGAGAATGAGAGCGAAATTAGGGACGTCCAAACTTGTGCAGCATGAACGGTTACCTCGAAGTCTGCATATCATTTGTTTTCCAATACAAGCACTGATTAAGTCAGGAATCGTTCTGGATGCAGATCAGTTTGCTTTTACACTTAATCTGTAGCTACATAAGGGATTGCACAATCTATACGTAACCCTCCTGAAAAGTCGGCAAAATGGTCTGTAGATTATATATATATTCACTCAACAAATGTCGTTCGCACTTACGTGTATGCATGCCTCTAATGTTTTCCCTTTTAAACCATGAAACTCTTTTTTAATTTGTCCCATATCAACTTCACAACGAGATACAATAATACGAATAAGGGTCCTGTCATCTGTTCCAGCACCTTTCATAGCTTTTAATAATTTCGCTGCAAAATATCGTGGCTTATTTTGTATACAACGAACTGAAATGAAATTTAAATAATGAACAACATATAGTGATTATTCAATTCAAAGATTATATCTATCCACTGTTAACAATAGTTTTACTTAAATACAACTATCATTCAATACTCTAGTGATTAAAGATTTCATCAAATAATTTTAAATTATTTGGTCATCATTATCTGTCAGCTCATAATTTATGTTAGAAAAAAATGGTGGTTAGCATTACTTACCAATAGACAGTAAGGCACTGAGTGTGTGCCCATGCATTTCTGATTTTAAAGCATCTTCCATATTACGCTTGCCAAGTGATGTATATTCATTGAATACAGCTCGTAAGTGAGCATATGATCGCGTAACCAGGATGTGAATGAATCTAATATGTACAGATATAAAAAAGTTACTTTTAAGTGTTGATCATAAAAAAAATCGGTGTTGTGTAATTATCCAAACTGGCATTCATTTATTGGGGGATGACATTTATTTAATTCGATAATAGTGTTCTTACTGCCCTTATAAGATTTTGGGACTGAAACATGTATAAAGTAAAAAAGGCGACTAATGTGATAGAACTATCCCAATCTCCCTATTATGGAGAAGCCGCTATAGAAACTTTTGGGAAAATGGCACAAAAACCCCGAAATAGGGAGATTGAGATGGAATGTACTTAATTTGTATTGCATTATGGCCTTCTAAATCCATTGTCAGTCAGCTGTAATTGAATCGAATATATTTGATTCACGTTTAGTTACTTCAGTCTTGGTGACACTTGCTAATATTGGTCAGTAGCATAATATGTCGTTAACGGATTGGCCGAAATATGGTGTTGATTTAACAAATGTTAATATCTATAAATACCCGTGTTTTTCTGTACAAAAGTGAACCTTGGAGTAAAGCATTTCTCTCATACTTTGTGTCTTCTCTCTGGTGTTCGGGTCGCTGTGTAGTTCTAGCTTGCGGGTTACCAGAATAGCTTAGGAAACGAATATAGCGTTCAATCAACAAGACTTATCAGTGGCGATGGGAAAAACACTGCCCTAACATGACCCTGCAGGAAGCAACTACCTAGTCAAATGTTTCAAATGGTTGTGGACTGAATAGAAGAAGCTTTCGCTTAACAGGCTTCCGTGTCTAGTAGCAGGGGATCACCAAATCCTCCAGGCAGGAACCTAGGTATGTTAACAATAAAGGAGGAAAAGAAATTAGTAAATCATAGTGTGATACTATCCTTAGTCCTTAAGAATAGATCAAGTTGCCTCTTAAAGGACTCCTGGGAAGTCGCTTGGACTAGCTCGGCCGGCAGCGAATTCCAGCATTTGACAACTCTTAAGGAGTAGAAGTTGTGTCTACAGTCCGTTCTGCTATGTTGTGTCTCCAGTTTCTGGGTGTTACCTCCTAGGTTAGTGTTGGAACTATGTTTAAGTAGGTGTTTGAGAGGATGTCCAGAAGTGTTAAGGATACTGTAAGCCAGCAGAAGGTCACCTCTAAGACGTCTATACTCTAATGAGTAAAGGTTAAGTGAATGGAGGTGCTCTTCGTAAGGTTTAGATTTGAGTCCTCTAACTGATTTCGTGGCTCGCCGTTGGATACGCTCCAGAGTGTCCTTATCCTTTCAGATAAAACTATTGAAGATTATATAGAAAGTTCATCCGTCAAACTGTCCAAAAATGCGCTTCAACGTTACCAGTGCAAGGTTTGCTCGGAAGGCATTTTTGTCACAGTTAGCATAAGACTTTAAATCGTAGGGCACCAGGACTCCTGAATCTTTTTCGACTTGGGATACTACTAGAGAGGAGTTTCCTAAGTTATAACTGTAGTCTGCAACATGTCGCAGATGGACTACTTTACACTTTGAAGTGTTAAAGGTAAGTCCGTTATCGTCTGCCCAACTTTGAAGTCGAGTCAGATCCTCCTGAAGTACCTGTATATCGTCTTGGTTGTGTATCTCTCTCCAATGTTTCACGTCGTCGGCAAAAATTAAAAAGTCTGACACTACCTGTTGAGGAAGACCATTTATGTAGATCAAGAAGAGACGAGGTCCTAGTACTGAGCCCTAGGGGACCGCACTAGGACATTCCATAACCTGAGATAAAGTGAAATTAACCCTGACCTTAAAATGTCGATTTTTCAGGTATGAAGTGAGCCAATCGGTTAGAGGTGGTCTGATACCCAATCGTTTGAGCTTATTGATAAGATATGTATGGTTAACCTTATCAAAAACTTTTGAAAAATCTAGGTAGATGATGTCAACCTTCACTTTGCAATCGAGGATGCTTGTCCATATGTCCACCCCAGTCAGCAGGTTGGTTATACAAGAGTAGCCCTTCCTGAAACCATGCTGTTGGGGTGAGAAGAAATTTAAGGACAGTAAATAGTCATTTATGCCATAGCATATCAGGGACTCCATGATTTTTGAAGGTATTGAGAGAAGAGCCACTGGTCGGTAACGTGAAGGTTCGCTGTGTCGACCTCCTTTGAAAACTGGTGTGATGTGAGCCGGCTTCCAATTTTCCGGTAGTTTTCCTCGGCTTAGCGAGTGTGAGAACATTACGCTAAGCGGTGTTGCCAAGATTGAGGCTGCTTCCCTCAGTATGGTAGAATGGACCATGTCCGGACCCGGAGAAGTGTCTATTCTTAAGTGCTGCAGTTTCCGGAACACCAAGTCGGCGCTTAGGTTCACTTCGGAAAGTTCTGTGGAATTGCAAACGAAACTGTCATCAGTAAAGTTAATGTCGGTCGGTTGAAATGTCTGAGAGTAATGTGCCGCCAGAAGGTTAGCGGCGTCGCCATCGTTGTTGGTCGGGCCGTTAAGACCTAGCAGTTGAGAAACTCCAGTTTTGGCTTGACGAAAAGAGGCTGCATAACGGAATAAGCTTTTAGGATTAGAGGCAAATTTGTCCATAAGCTTTGTCTGGTACTGAAGCCTATCTCCTCTAATAGCCTTCGTGCATATGTTCCTTATATGTTTATATTGCCTGTACGCTCCGTCGTTGTCAGTTCGTTTGTATTCCGCCCAACAGTGCCTTTTGCGGCCTTGCAGGCGAAGAGTGCGGTTCCTGATGATTGTGGGTTGCTGACAACTATGGGGGACCGTTTGAGGAACTGAGTGGTTTGTAGCACGTAAGAGCGTGTGCAGTAAGAAGTCTCAATGACCGTCCACATCGAGTTGGGGGTGAACATCCCAAACCACCTGTTGTAGATAGTAGTATGAAGCTGGCACATTCAGCCGTTTAAAATTCCAACAAAAGTTATTGGTGGGATATCTTAGCTTATTTTTGTTGACAAAACTGAAGGCTATGACGGCATGATCGCTTTTTCCCAGGGGAGCTAGGATTGAGAGGTTGTCAAACAGGAATTCTTCATTTGTGAATACACAGTCTAAGCGCGATGGTGTCTGACTGTTTCTTCAACGAGTTGCCGACCTCACATTTTCATATAAGCCCAAGTTATCGACGAGGTTGAAGAACCGAGCTTCAGTTGAGTTGTCGCCTCCAGTGTACGTGTGTTCCGCGAAGTTGACTCTAGGGAGATTAAAGTCCCCTAGAATCAGGATGTGTGTGAAACCGAGACGAGTAGAGCGGGGTATCTCTTCCAACATACGACTATCGTACTCGATGTCGGCAGTTGGCTTCCTGTAAATGACTCCGACTAGACACCTCGAAGTACTAGACAATCTTACAGAGCACTATATGGATTCCTTAAGATTGTTAAACTCAAGGTTATGAACTTGGTGCATCTCCAAGCAAGAACGTATGCATACGGCTACTCCGTCCCCAATTCCTGATTTTCTGTCGTTGAGGTACAAAAACATCCCAGTTAATACTAACTCTTGGTCCGAGAACTGAGAAGATATCCAGGTTTCAGATATTCCTATCAGACGGACCTTGTGGTGGTCGGTATTCGATATAATCCTTAAACTTCGTATACAGTTCGTCGTGATAACCGTTCTACATAACGTATCAACGGTATATTAATCAGAAGGCAAATACGAAGTGTTGATTACGTTTATTGCGAGACCACACACATATATCCAAATGTACAGATGTGTTAAACAAGCATAGAAGAGTTGTGCCGAAAGGCAAGCAAGCGAGCGAGAGCCAGAGCAAGAGCGTGACGAGACCGTGTGAGCGAGTGAATGATTGAGCGTTCAATATGAATAACATGGACATATATATACCATGTGAAATGAATGAGTAATCGAATCGAATAAGCGGTTAGTGGTAAGACTAGCAGAGTGAATAAATCCGTAGGCAGTAATCAATATTCAAGCATACGTATTTCATACAAGCGCAAAATAATAATAAGGATACAATAAATTGTTATAGCGCGGATGGCTTTGTCCGCTAAATAAGTTAACAAAAAGAGCTTAACTGGGTTAAATGAAAATAAACTCATTTGCACGTGAGTCGCTATAACCTCATTAGCGTTGCTAAGTTCACGTAATTCATCCAATTTGTTTGGCAGACTCGCGGCGTTCATATATAAGCAGTTTACACTTTCAATTTGGAACGCGTGAGCTTCGTCCTGTTTGTCTGTATGAGCCTTACGTGAATGGACAGGTAGCCCACTTATATGAGGTTCGCCGAGGTGGTAGGCCCTGTCTTTTACACGTTCTTTTATCGTCTAGACAGTCCACAAGTGGAATGGTCAGCTCCAACTTGCCTTTGTGTTTGGTCTTAGCTTTGTATGGCCTATCCGGATGCATCTGGATTCCAGTTGGCAACCGACGTCTGTTGACACGAAATGCTTCCAGGGTTGCGGCCGCCATGTGTGAAGATGGGAAGGTTATCTTCGTTAGACGGGGTCTAGAATCACCGTCCTTCTTGGCTAGTCTCGTCACATGCTGAGTCAGTATGTTTTTGAGCCTCAAGGACTGTTTGATGAACCCGCAATCTTCTAATGAATACGTGAGAGCTGTTATGCAGTTCCTGTGGTATGAATACTCGTCGTTGTTGTGGTCTGGGAGGTGTTATTTTTAAATCGCTCATGTGCTTTCTCAGGCGTTGCACATAGCCGGTTACATCAGTCGGGACATTTTTACTTGAAATGAAAAATTCTCCGGGTAATCGTAGAGTAGTTCCGTAAACTAACTCGGCCGGACAACATCCCATGTCTTGTTTAATTGTTGCTCTTTGAGCTAACATTACTAGGGGAAGTTTACTAGACCAATCGTTGTTAACGATGACGGCTGTAAGGGACGCTTTTAATTGCCTATGTAGGCGTTCAACCATTCCGTTTGCCATTGGATGGTACGACGTCGTTCGGATTCGTTTAATACCGAGGAGTTCAGTAAGCTGCTGAAAGAGTAGACTTTCGAATTGTTCTCCTCTATCAGTTGTGATAATCGTTGGTACACCGTAGTAAGAAATCCAATTT